AAACTGCAATGCAAATATGCAATGTGGTAAACATCAAATTCTATTCAATATCGAACAAACATTGGCTGCGCTGAACGTTCGTGCGTTCACCGTCATTTATTTCCAGATTTTAATGTACAGATTACACACTACGCCACTGTAAATAGGTCAATATAACTCAGGGTTGTGCAAGATAACCCCCTTAGTCACGCCATAAATTTTATATTAAGAATACTATGCTATAACCAAGAGAGAAGTATGTACCAAATATCGGATGTAATAAATCGGCGTTACTGTTTACACACTTTACTGGGTACTGTCAAGTCTATTGTTCTTTACTAGAAATATATACGGCAATTAGTAAACTGGCTTTAATTTCAGAACAAATAATGAGCAAACCCCGAATTCTGTAATTAAGAATTTCTGACAGCTTTCCACAACACGATCCGGTAGATATAATGCGAATTTTAGGCAAATTAACATGGCGTGGGGCCGCTGAATCACTTCGCTTTAATTAGAACCGGAATCTTGATACCGTTCGGACACTTCTGGTGAACTCATGTAGATGTAACAGTATGCGTTCCGCGAATGCAACATTTGAACGCAAGGCGTGAATCAATGACCAATCCGAATTGATTGTTGCAAGTGCTAGCGCTCGTGAAGATTTGTTCCAGTCAATCAAAACTCAGTTCATCGGACGTTTTATCATTAATATCTTCCGTAATCGATGCAAATTTTATTGCCTGTCGTCACGCCTCGCGCATTGATCTCTAGTTACGTAGGAGATTGATCTAATTTTATCAGATCCTATTCATTTCATGTGTCTACATGGAATGACTAGTCATTTCATAAGATAACTGCTTGTATTTTGATCTCAGGGCACAGTAAATCGAGCGTACGGCGCGTAGCGTTCCGCGCGCGCCTCAAAGAGCCAATAGACCACCACAGTCGGGGCCCTAAAGGGCTGATGTTTAGCCGGGGCTGCGGGGTAAGCGCAATGAGGCACCGCGACCTCGGCCCAGAGCAGGAGAAGGAACGGGGGGGTTTTTAGTCAGTAAGAGTCTGACACTCTCTCTCGCCTTACCCTGGGCGGGAGAAGTCATTGGATGATTTTCCCCTGACAAAAAAAAAAAAAAAAAAAAAGGGGCACAGTGCATCACATTTCAATCTAAGGAAAGGTATCAAAAGAAAATTGCAAATTCAGCGGAAAATATTCCAGGCAAAAATGTTCAGGCAATATGCTTTCTTGGCCCAGATTTGCCGGTTCGTCGACCGATTTCATGTTGGGAACGCGCGGCTTGCATATCACCAGGTGATGCTCGCCTTAAGCCGGCGTTTCCGATGCGGGTATGGATATATTTTTAGAGAAACTTAAATTCTATTTCTGCAACAAGCGGTGTGCCGTCGAAAATCGTTAGAAAATTGTTTTATGGCACAGTAAACATAATATTTTCGTGCACATAGATTCTGATGTCGTTGACTTGTTATTGCTCGAACTTTTCTTTAAGTGGTCTCGAAAGGCTTTTAGCATCTGTAAATTATCTCAAACATCTGTTTTATTTGAGGCACATTCTGAACTAAAACAAATTTTAAGAACGTTCGCGAACGTAAAGTTTATCTTAGCGTTTAAATTGTCTATAATAATAACTTATTTCTAAAGACACTTCGTAAAGACAGAACAACAAATATCAAGACATTCGATGAATATTATACGTTCGTAAAAACTGATAAACCAATCGAAACTTAAAATAAAAGCATATTGGTTTTGAGGTTTTAAATCTTGAAGAATTTGCCGCTTTATAAGTGCTTCACTCCACTGAAGAGGAAAGAGCTGCGAATTACGAATTAAGAGGCTTTAAGAGGCTGCAATGGCAAAAGTGGGCAGAAAATGTTCAGTTTAAAAGTAAAAGATTTGTTCCTGGTTATTTGCATGCAAAAAGAGCAAGCAACGGAGCGATGCAAAAACTTAGCAAGTACTTGATTCGATAATTTATTGAAATATCGTAATGTAGGTAGAAATCAAGGTTCAAAATATATTTGAGTGTCTGAAAACCAGTAGCTAATAAAATTCGCGTAATGCCTGGAATGTTTTTGATAATAAATTAGTTACGCTAATAATTGTACATTGGAGGTAATAAGCGACTCTGTTTCAACTTATTTCAAGGTCAACGTTAATTTAATTTTGAGGCTTTATAATTTTTGAGTTATTTATACTATTTTAGGAATATTAAGTTATGTTTATTACCTATTTAATTCACGCATTAATTTACGAATGGTCGCTTGACGACAAAACCTTATTAGAAAACTGAATATTGAAAACTAGAACTGATTTTATAAACATGACTGACAAAATTACATCTACATGTTTTATATCACGTTTTATTTTTCTCGATTTTTTTTATTCGCGATATGAGTTATGAGTATCTCAGGGCATGAATATAGGGCCATGTGTAAACTCAGGTGAGGATAACATATATATGTACACAGTACACCAAACATATTTATTGACCTAATTGCCACAGTGATATTTTTGAAGGGGTCCCATCAGTACTGGGCGACATTAACTATAGGCCGACGGACGGCGTCGTCGTATGGCGCCAGAGAGGCGCAGCCTATGAATAGGGATGTTGATGTACGTACAATACATGAGAAAGGAGGTTTTTATCATATTTTTAGATATCTGTTTTGGTTATAATGCCGGGAAATGGAACATCACTATGTATGAATCGATTTTAGTAGAATCATCATAAAAATGTGTTGTTTTGGTGATGTCGATAAAATTGGATGTTGGTATTGAATTTCATATTTTAGGATAACATGATATAAATTACGCATACCTACCTATCTACATAGATTAGGTTCCTGCTTTTCCTTATAGCTTAGTAGATAGTTGACACCCACTTCTCATTGTTTCTGTTATTAGTAAGCTTGGAAAATATGGTCCATAGTATTAAATAAGTAAGAAGTATTCAATGAAACCTATTTATTCATCAAACCTATTTCAAATCTTATTTGTAATAGAAATATCTAATGGTGGATTTTGTTTAGCTATGCAAAAGTAATGATTTTATCAGTTATAGTTTGTGATGCTGTGAATTAAATGGTAACATTCGGCAACATTAATTTCAATTGCACACTATATTTTGAAGGCCATTAATGTTATGACTACTCTAGTCAAAGAAGCTGTACATTTTATAATTTTTAAAGTAAACTTAAAGTACTCATGTTTTTTTTTATAATAATATGGATAACAGGTCTGTATACATATATGTATATATAGGTATGTTGTATTGAGTTCTTGGGTTGTTCTGTAAGTGAAGATCTCCAGTCCTCAATCACAAGGCTGTTTTACAAAACAAGATAAGTACCTTGTGTGTGTTTAAGTTAATTTGGGTATCATGCACATACTTTGTGAAAACTTGGATCAGAGGATCTCCCTAGAAACTAAACTTATTATATTCAAAGGTCTTGATCTAGACTACACTACTACTACTAGATAAATGCACATGGCTTATCTTTATAAAAAGGGGCCAAGCTAAGTTCAGTTTCATTAGCAGCTTTTTAGCCTGCTTCCCACAAAGGGGGAGGTTCTCAATTCGGGTGGTATATTTTTTTTTTATTTATATTTTTAACAAAAGAACATGATTATTTTTACTCTATATGCAATACTTTGACCTATGGGTCTTCTTAGGGGTGGATTTTTTTAATGAGATCTTAATGTGGAGCCATTTACACATAAGTATAACTTATGTTATTGATTTAGATTACATATATTTTATTAACTAATAAGATGGTATTTCTCTAAGTGATGTAGGTTGTCTTGTACAAGAAGGTTGTTAAATCAATAGGATAGATATTTATGTATTAAGGAATGATATTTTCTCATGTGTTGTGAGCGAAAAATGTTTGTTATGTATTAAATTTGTTTACCTATAGATAATAGGTAAGTTATATGCAATAGCGGCCAAAATAAATTCTGTAGGTGGATTGAACTCTTCACACATTGTTGTGGTGCTGCTGGTTATAATGGCTATTCAATCCATAAGGGGCGAAAAATTGAGGATATTTTAAATGAATTAGAGAGTAAATGTGACCAATGGCAATGCCAAGAGTGTGACTGTTGTAAACAAAGGCTATAAATTATGTTATACACTTATTACACTAGTATCTTAAGCATGCTAGGTTTTCTAATATCTTTTAATATGTAGTTAAGTTTAACTAAAAACATTTTTAATTTAAAAAATTGCAGGCAGTCGCAATCAACGTTCTGCCTAGCGAGTTTATAGCCTAAGAAGTATCTAAAATTATACTAAAACACAAGATAACGAATTTTAAAAAGGAATTTAAAAAAAGTACTTACTCACCAGCTAATTGTTATGTTCAACGCCGGTACTAGCACAACTTCTGTGTGGTAGCAACAAAAGTGGACGATAAAAGTCAATTTTTAAATAAAAGAAAACACGATCGATTTGCTCTGTTTACCAGCAAAATCTTCTAATTGATTTAAATTATCAAATAATTTGTACACAACAGAAACAAACGACAATCTTTATTCGTACATTGACCCGACCGAGTGGAATGAATGAGAAACAAAAGCTTCTATTTACCCGTTTTGACAATTAACAGTTATATTATCTGTTATTGTTTAATAAAATTAAAACTTAATTCCTTTACGAATTAAAATAAACTGTCATCATTCCTAATAACGATTATCGAATTAATCTGTTTCACACGAAATAAATACAACATTTTTTAGTTTACTATTTTTTACAGCTGATGATGAGTTGCGTTCTTAAAATGTAATCATAGAACTACATCAAAATAGATTAATAATAGACGAAAACTAATTATTATTGGATATATAACATAAAATGTTTCTAAAGGAATCCTTTGATAATTAAATATCATGTAACTATAAAACAATTAAATACTCCTTACAGAAAAAAAACAGATTAAAATGAATGCGTCCACGTTTTGTTGCGGGAAAATAACACTGACATAAATTGGTGTCAAGCTATGACGTAAAAATAGGACGTCAAGTTCATTCATGTTTATTGTATTTCGGCGCCTAAAAGTTTGAGTGATAATATTTTAATAAAATAAATATATTATTATGCAATAATAAACAAAAACATCGAATAATGGAAGAAGAAAGTAAGTTCATCATCTCATATTAACACTATTAATTGCTTTTTAGGTTATCGTGAGATTGTTTATTGATAAAAAAAATATTTCAGAACTCATCCGAAGAAAGAAGAAGGCTCTAAACAGCAGCAATAGACGTGCTTTAGCTGAAGCTTATAATGATTTGGCATCATTTTACTATAAACACAATCGTTACAGTGATGCCCTAGATGAGTATAAGAGCGAGGCATCGATTTACAAAGATTTAGGATTACGTTTGGAATGGGGCACTAGCAACCGTATGATTGGAGAGATGTATATGCTGTTAGCGGAATTTGACAAAGCTCTGAAGTATGAGGAGCGACATTTAGGTAATCACATCTTATATTTTCTTAATAAGTTGCTTGTCTAAGTCAAAATCCTTTAATTGCATTGTATTGTTGTAGTAAAAACTGAGCAGCACTGTGATAAGCATGAAATTTACGTAAATTTATTACTAAAAGTTTCAAGTAAACTTAATTTCAGACTATTTGAGTCCTTAGGATTCACCTACCAAGTGATTTCTTATTGACATTTTCCAATTAAATTATATACTTCTAGCTTCCCCCCGCAGCTTGAACTGCATGGTATGTTGTAATAATATCCTATGTTTTAATCCAGGGTAAACCCATTAACATACATCCATAAATTCCCACAAACTTCACATATAACATTAGTAGCTGATGGTGTATAAATAAGTTCCTGGCCCACCTTATATAGATTTAAAAACTAAGACTACACTGACCGTAAACTCTACCTAAATACTTTTTAATTCATCCAATTAAAACCTCTTTTGTTTACAGCTGTAGCAAAAGAGTTAAAGAATTTAGTGGAGGAACAGAGAGCTATGGCTACACTAGGCAGAATATATTTGCTACAAGGTCAAAGTACTACAGATGAGAGTGAGTCTAGAGTATCTCTGAGAGCTGCTGAAAAAGCTTTCATGAAAAGTCTTGTGTTGTGTGAAAAGTAAGTTTTATATGTTGCTTTTTAAAGACTGGTTTTAAATTTGAATATAGAATGTAATTTGAATAAAAGAAAAAAGTTAATAAGGTGATGTAACAGGCCCTTCTTTATGTATGTAACTTCTGTTTTAATAATTTTTTAGGTGCAAGCTTCATTTTTAAGGTTTTTTCAAATGTATTGAGTATTAAACTTGAGGATGCTTCCATTGGGAAGCATTCTCAAAATTAATAGAAACTTCTGTTAGAAACATTGTTTTTAAAAATTTTTTCAGATAACAAATATTTTCATGACCTTTATGGTAGTTTTCTCAGTCAAACATAATTATTTCAGTCCTATAAATAATCACTTTACCTATTTTAATTTGTAAGAAATAAGTACTACATATTTACGTAACAATGAAACAATGAATTTATTTTTGTCAATAGGCCATAAAACAGCATAGGTGCTGTTTTCAGATTTGCTGTCAAAATTATATAAAAATAAATAGATGAAGCCGTAAATTCACTGATTAACTGGTTGATAACTTACCTACTGACATCTGAAATACCAAAACATTTATTAATTTTAATGTACTTAAATATTTTTATTTCCAGTTTAAATGGCAAGATAAATAAACACGAGCTAATGGATATGAGAGCCCGTCTGCTTCTAAATATTGGTGTGGTGCAGGAACACTTAGGAAACCTAGATAAAGCCTTGGACTGTATCAACAAAGCCATATCAATATGCTCCAGCCAGGATTTGTATGAAGTTCTGCACAATTGTTACACTACTGAAGCATTGTTACATTGTAATAAGAAGAAAGATTATGCCAAAGCCTTAAGCTGCTTGAATAAGGCTCTTGAAGTTGCTAGCAGACTTGAAGATAAGGTACAATTTGTTACATTTTTATTTAAGAATTAAAATAATAGTCCTAACATTTTTGTTCTGAACATACCTACTGTATAAATGGTCAAAGTATAAAGAGATAATGTTTTTGTCCAAAAATGGGTTAAAATAGAATATGAAATATTTTATTTCTGTTGTTGATTTGAACCTCATGATATGACATGGTATAAATGTATTAAAAATAAAATCACATGCTGCTCATGTATAAGAGTCCCGTTGTGAGTTGAAACTAGTAGAGCATATCTTAATTAACATAGGTCATTTGTATCTCTCACGATAGTCTATAGTCAGTCTGAGAATACTATAGGTATATAGTTAAAAAATTAAAAAAAATGTTTCATTCATTCACAGGTTTTAAAGACATGTGAAACATTAGCATCGAAAGCTGATATCTTGTGCAAGATGTCTGACTATCAGAGTGCTAAGCAGGTTCTGCTCAAAGCTTGGAAAATGAAGACTCCTGATGAAGAGGAACATGAGATAATTGAATCTAATCTGAGAGTTGGTGAGTGCTGTACTGTCATTATGTCAAATATCACAGCGTGTTCTGTTGGCAATATCAATTTGTTTATTTTAAAATTCATGCACTATCAAAATTGTAAATAAGGCGGACTTAATGTAATGAGCATTCTCTTCCAGTCCACCTCAGGGTGAGACAATCCAGTGGTTGATGCAGGAAGCAAGCTAGATTACCTGTATCCCTATGTATGCTTTAATCTTTAAAACTATGCAATGGATTGTGACTTTTTCACAGTTAATAATACTTTCAAAGTTCATTTGAAGACCACTGACTAAGATTGTCTAGAGTAATCTAGATGCCATTGACAGACTGTCCAGGAAAACATCACAAGGAAACCTGGACCTATAGTTACTAATTATAAGTCAGAAATGGCCAATTATCGCTCAAACCATCTCTATGTGAGAAGAGCTCAGTTTAGGCTGGCGATTATGATTATTGTTAACTTTATCAAATGTAATAAAAGTTAGAGTAGCATGTAGAGATCAAAAAGAATAATAATTCATGTAGCAGCTCATTTTTAAGCCATATAATATTGTGCATAAGAATAATAAATTGTTAAACCCTCATCAACACAAAATTTATGAACGTCATGTATTATTAAAATCTCTAAAGATTTCTGTTTGTGAAGAGAATGTAAATATTCACAATCATATTCAAATAAGGAGCCTGTATGGACTGGACTCGTTTCGATCCACACCAGGGCTCATAATCTTGAACAGCACATGTGACAACATACATTGAAAGACTACAATAGACAGTCTTATAAAGTATACAAGACAAATTAAAAAACACTAAAATTTCTTTTCTACAGTGGCAGCAATGTGCTATACAGAAGACCTTCTAGTATCAACGGACCCGTCCGACCATAGCACGTTTAAAAAGCATTATGAAAAGTTAGGAGATGGAGCTTGTCATCTTAAGAACTATGCAGGGGCAATCGAGTACTATTTGAAGATGTTAGACCATGCTGAACTGGCTGGCGAATGCGGGAAGACTTTGATACCGATTTATGTGAGGTAAGTTTTCAAATAGAAAGGACTGTATGCTTTTAAATCATGAACAGATTCCTCGTATATTTTTTTAGTGCAAATAACAAGAAATTACTCAAGTGAATTGAACAAGTAAAGCTCTACTATTTCCATGTTACAATTTCTTATACACGAGTTTGCCGGTCGCGGCGACTACGCCAAGCCGTCTCGGTTAAGTCGGCGGTTAATAAATGTTGTAGCTTATTTAATAGTGTTACGATAGTGACTATTAAAAAAAAAACTAGTCCTATAAAAATCTAAACAGATTCAACATTTTTACCTTCATAGTATTTGTATATCTAAGGCACTCAATCAATGCCTTAAATTCTTAAAATAATTATTAATAATGAAAAAATTTCTTTCTTTTCAGCCTCTATCAAACATACAAAGACATGGGTTCATACAATGAAGCACTTGATTACTATGAGAAAGAGTATGAACTGATCAAAGATGTGCCAAAAGAGGCATTCACAACTATGTACAATATTGCAGAGACTTTGTTCCTAGCTAAGAAGCCGTATGGTCAGATTGAGAAGGCTTGTTTAGAAGCTAGGAGGGCTGTGAGTATATTTCGATTATCTTTATTAGTATTGCAGGTTAATTTTTGCGATTGTATTGTAATCCTATAGAACTAATTGATACAGCATTTAATATTGCTAGGAATTTCTGAATAAATATACTTAGCACATCAAAGGGTCTGTCTATTTTCAGTTTAATAGGTACTAGCAGTTACGCTTTTGTGTATTTCTGGTGTAAACGTACATTTTATACGTTTGTTATTTTTTCGCGACAAAATATGACAAACGCGCTTGAATCTTTCACTTTGTGCTTGTCATGGTCCAACAATTTTTTTTATGGATCACTAGCTGTTCTTCCGCGGTTTCACCCGCTGCTCGGCTCTATTTAATCTTAGCGTGATGTTTTATAGCCTATAGCTATAGCACTCAGGAACATAGTAGCTATCTATCAGTGAAAGAATTTTGGCAATCCAACCAGCGGTTCCAAAGATTACCCCCTACATAAAAACTTACAAATTTTACCTCTTTATAATATTTGTACAGATGTATAGATTAAACTTTTATCATAATAAATGAAAGGTAAATACATAAAAGTTTTATCATCCATAAAACTTTTGCTGAACCGTTCTAGAATAACATCCATCCACACATTATTTTCTCTCACATTTAGGCTCAAGAATGGAACAAAAGAAAATACGAAATCAGAGTACTAAAAAGCTTATTGAAGTATCAAGAAGAATATGGTGAAACTGACAAAATGGAGCAGATCAAAGACGAATTAAGAGCTCTAGGGTATGAGAACTTAGATAACTTGGAGAATTCTGAAGATGAACAGAGCTCTGCTGGGGGTGGTGACGAAGATATTCATATTGGGGATGATATATGCTTGGATGACCTTACTGGTAAGTTAACCTAGTAATCTAGAGCCCGTTTTTTGCGATAGGGATAAATTAGCCTACTCTCCTGATTGTATGCGATTTAAGTGTGGGAGAGCCATGCTTCAGCACGAATGGACCGGCTCGACCGGAGTGATACCACGGCCTCACTGAAAACCACCGGCTTGAACCAACACTTACGTTGTATTTCGCCGTGTGAGAGTGAGGTTACCGGAGACCCAATACTTCCATCCCACAATATGGTAGTTTCCTAGGTCAAAAATAAATTAATTCCATGTTTCAATACAGTAAAATATTGAAAAAATAACTATAATTTTATTCATCGATCGATACAGTGTATTTTAGATATTTTATAGCAAATTTTTAAGAAATTAAAATACTATTTTACTCTAAAATACTATGACATCATAATTTAGTTTTTCATACAAATTTCATAGAAAAGCATCGTTTTTGACATTTGGATAAAAGTATTGAATTTGACTAGTTGGAAACTACCGTATTCTTAAATCCTCTATCCTTAAATCCCTAATAATTTTCATTGTAGCTTTTACTCCAAAATTTTCTCATGCTATACTTATAATAAAAAATAAACCTATTCATCCTGATTACATCTGCCTGTACATCAGGGTTCATTGTTTAGTAGCTTTTGAGAAAGAATTACAAAGTAATTTTATTCATTCATATTATTTTACAGATTTATCAGATACAAACGAAGAAGAAGTGACGGAGACAAAACGTGAGACGCGCAAACGAGGCAAAGGATTCACAATCAAAAAGAATATGAAAGGAGAATCCCAGTTACATGTCGTAAGTAAAGACTCAATCTAAATCTTATTTAATGAGTTACAAAATGTTTTCGTAGAACATCGGAGTGTTTGGCATGCGGAAGTGAAATAGCGCTGTCAGTGTTCCATCCCTTAGCCGAAGTTACTGGTCAAGCGCAATAATGTACTACGGCCCCGGCCTCAATGTGAAAAGGAATGGGGTGGTCTTTTAGTCAGTAAGACTCTGACACTCCCTCTCGCACCAACCGAAGAGTCATGCGATGGTTTTCCACGAACAAAAATTTTATAAAAATAATATCCATCTATCCCATGGGGAAAATGACATCCTATTTCTTAAGTTGAGAATGTGGCCTCTTCTCCCAGTTATCTTTTTAAAGTCATTTTGTGTTATCAAAATATTGTTGTTAACCTACTTGCTACTCTCATGCGGTTTCACCCACTGCTCAGCTCCATTTGATCGTAGCGTGACGTTTTATAGCCTATAGCACTCAGGAACATTGTACCTATCTATCAGTGAAAAATTTGGCAATCCAACCAGCGATTCCAAAGATTACCCCCTACATACAAATTTACAAACATACAAACTTACAAATTTTACCTCTTTATAATATTAGTATAGATAAACCTTTAATTCAAATAAATGTTGATAAAATCGATTTCTTGAACGAGTTCATAAATCAAAGCAAGTAAATAAACCCTTACTAGGCGAGTTTGATTCGCACATGGCTTGCTTACTAATTAATCTGTAGTTAAGTATTTTTAAACTTACCTAGTATTATTTATACCTTACAGGCAGCCATCTCGGGCAACAAACTATTAGTGGAGCGCTTAATAGCTCAAGGCCATCCAGTGAATATTAGGGACAATGCGGGCTGGTTGCCCTTACACGAGGCCTGCATACATGGCCATACTGAAGTCGTCAATATACTCATCAATAACGGTGCTAATGTCAACGATAGAGGCGGATCTAATTGTGATGGTAAGTGTTTATATATTTAAATAAATACCTAAAGTGATCAAATATCCATGCACCTAGGTTGAGTACCTATAAATAAAAGTTTCGTTAAAATAAAGTTATACTTTGATAATTCTAGGCATCACACCCCTATACGACGCAGCAAGCAACGGTCACTTAGAAGTAGTTCAATTACTGCTAGAAAAAGGCGCGATATCAACACTTAAGACAGATTTTGGCGAAACACCATTACACGTCCTCCAAAAATGGCGAACGGGTACCATATTAACAAAAGATGAAGAAACAATGTACAACAATATATGTAATAAAATCCAAAACTCGATAGACAAAACTAATTCAGCAGAATTATTTAATAGATCCAAATCTAGAACTCCAGTTAAACCTGTGAAAGATGTTACACCGCCTAGCACCTCTAAAATGAAGAGTAGGATCAATGAACTAGACACACCCGTGTTTAAAAGAAGAAATATAATTGACGATGACAGTGATGACGATTTAGATCTATCACAGAACGTAAGGAATGAAGCCGCATTCCCATCTGACGACTCCAACTCATCTGATGATATCAAAGTTAAAGACAAGAAGAAATCTAAAGGCGTTAAAGAATACAGAAGTGCTATAGAAGCTCTAAGAAACAGGAGCATCAGTGACGCTCCCGAAGTTGCAGCAAAGAAACCTAAAGTCAAACCAGCGTTACTAGACCCAGAAGAAGTAGACGACGATTGGCTAGATGATGACTTAGGAATCAATAAAAATAATAAAAAAAGAAAACTAACTGACCCTCTGACTACGGTAGCTAAAAAACCTTCCTACGAAAGCATAAAAGACAAAATAGAAGATTTAAATAAAATTACTCAACCTCTTGTTGACAATAATAGGTCCAGTGCTAAAAAGAAATCGAGGATCAGTGATGTTATGGATGTAAGTGAGAACAGTTCTGACTCAGATAGTTTTAGGAATGAAAATGTTAGACCAAGAGTGACTGCTTCACAAGCTATGAGAAATATCGCTAAGGAACTTAATGAAACTAAATCTAGGGATAGTAGGGATAATATGAAACGTCGGTGGAAACGACAGAGCACGCTGTTAAAAGCTGGCTTTCAAAGGCAGAGAGAAGATGACGCAAGCAACAGTGGGAGCGATACAGAATATTCTAGAAGGGACATAAATAATAGACTGACTCCAACAGGGACATTTACTCGAAAGACTTCGGGAGAAAATTTCGCTTTTAATTCTAGTACACATAACGATGGTTTTAATATAATGCAAGGCATGAACCCTAATATAGTGCAACCAATGAATGTAATACAGCCGATAAACATAGTTCAATCAACTAAGAACGGTCGGCCAGTACAAACCCAGATCTTGCCGCCGGCCGCGGTCAAAGTACAGGTGGAAGACAAAGTGCTACTAATATCGTTGAAGTTGGATACGATAAACAAATTGACAATCAGCTGGCTGGTTGAAGAAGTCAAATCTAGATATTACAAGTAAGTGTATTTTGTTTTAGTTATTAACTTGATTTCATTCTTTTGCGCCCATCAGACTCGGTTGAAGTTGGTATGCTTAAGTAAAATCTAAAAGGAGAAAAGAAAAGATTTGATTTTGGATTTATTGACACTTAACACGGTTGCCTGCTTTAAGTGTCATGAATAAAAATATAATAACACAAAACTAAGTTAATTTGATTTTATGGTGTAGGAAAATAAAAGCCCTTGCGCAAAATTTAGCGCAAATTACTTGCGCAACGTTGCGCAAATGTAAAATTTGTTGCGATAATTTCAAAATATATAATTTTAATCCGCCGGAGTTGCAGATCAAGTACAATAAGGTATCGCAATCCCGGGCTGGAGCAGGAGAAGTCATTTGATGATTTTCCCCCTCAAAAAAATATTCTGGATTTTCAGATTGACTGGCGTCCGTCCTGTGTTCAGTTTGATGACGTCAGATGGTGCTATACTGTCAGAGGAAGATCCATTGAGCTTAGTTCTGTCTTCACCTGAACTTAAGACGTGTATCACTAACTGGAAGGCTTCTCCCGCCGAAGAACGGTACCTCGAGTGCTGTGATGCTTTGAGTATACGTGAGTAATATCATGTTTTATTGGACTATTAGGATAAAATTAAATCACTGCCACTAGCGTGACTAGTGTGACTTCTACATAAAAATGTAATAGAACGAGTTAATAGCACTGTTTTAAAGATAACCTAGTTTTTGCAATTAAAGCATTCGAACGATCGAACGACGATTTTGAAGTGAAAATAAAACATTATCCGAACTTTTCTTGTGCGCTAATTAACATCAAAACTACATGCTTTGACGCATTTTTTTAAAAGAAATCATTCGTAGTTATTTGAACATTTTCGTTTATTAATTCCAGCTCCCTCTGAAGAAATTCAGCAAGCAGTCGGTAGGAGTCACACTACGCGACGAATAGCGTTAGGAGCAAGGACGTTATCATCATCACAAATAAGACCTTTATTCAGAGCCCTCACCCATCAGACACATATTACAGCGATCATGATATCAGACAACAACATAGGAGACGCGGGCGTCAAATATCTAACCGAATGCTTGTGCACCATGAAGCAATTAACTCATTTAGATATAAGCAGAAATAACATCACAAGCGAAGGAACAAAACACCTACTAACCATGTTCGAAAGAACAAACCGACCCGCTTGCACAACCCTAGAAGAACTCGATATTAGTAGCAACCCTGTAACAGATAACGGCTTCAGGAACATAGCAAAAATAACTCAATACGTACGATTAAAAACGCTAAAATTAAATTATTGTAATATAACAGAAAATGCGATTAACGATTCGATTAAATCGAGTATGAATTTCGATTGTTTGGAATCGATTGATTTGAGCAATAATGATGTGAAACAGGGTGTTGTTAGTTGTATAGTGACGTCGTTGAATCCGAATGTTTTGGTTGATCTGGAGTTGGATAATGTTGGGGTGGAAGCGAACATCGTAGGCTGTATCGCAAGCTTCATGGATTCCGCTAAAGACTTGAAAATAAGAAGATTCGCATTGTCGAATTGCAAATTGGTTGATGGATTATTTATGAGGATATTTAGGTAAGGAGCTTTGATAACTAATATCTTGTTACAAACCAATTATATGGGGATAATTCGATTAAAATATGTTTTCTCATTTACAGGAGCATCAACCGCGCAAAACACCTTCAAACGATAACACTGAAGAACAACAATCTTACCTTCATCACGCTAAAGAAATTACTGCAACGGCAACCCCCAGTTCCTCAAATAAATCTACAGGGTTGCCAGGACATATTTAAATATTCTCCCGATTCTGATTTTCAAGTTTGGTTGCCAGCTATCGATTTTGGTAGATGTATACCAGAGATAAATGTGACGCCGGTATCAAAAACGGATGAAGAAAGGGAAAGCTTTAAGTCTTTTTCTAAGACCTGGTTGAATTGTTTTAAAGGTAGAGGCATGATAGAACATTGCGAAGGAGGTGTTATAAAATTCACAGCTAGATGAGATTTAATTGTATGTTGTAAGTTATTAAAATGATCAAATTAATAACAATATGATATTATAATACTGAATGAAATTATTGTTGCGGTTCACGAAGCGAAGTATGAATTTATTGATAGACAGCGTACCCGGGCGAGTAGTCTCGATCAAGTCTACCAAAGTTCAATATCAATAATCGTTATCGCTTTATAAACAAAATAAATATTTCTCAAGGTCGTTTATAATTCAAGTTATCAACAAATCACAATCTGTTTGAATTCTCACGCAGATTTGTCTCTTTTCTAAAGCGATAATGATTATCAATACTGAATTTAACTAGGGGGGTGTTCGAAACCCCACTCCAAAAACTACCTCATTGAATTTTGAAGTTATTTATTCTTACCCACTGACTCTTTTTTGAGTGATTTGCTCGAAGTTGCTAAAACATTGTGTCCTTTTAATCCAGATAGTTTTTTACTTTCCCCTTTACCTCCTAACCCACCGTGTCCATTTTAATTTTGACGTCAAATAAATACTTAAAAATGATAAATCCTGACCTACCTGATTAAATGAATTTCCAGTTCACTTTATACATATAATACTTTATTAACTAAAAATCGCGGGTTAGTCACGTGTATATATTGAGAAAAGCTCTACTAGTTTCGAACCACAGAGGGGTTCTTCCTCATGAGCAGCGTGCGCGGACGCGGCGACGTCGCGCTACTGAAACTAGTAAAGCTTTTCTCAATATATACACGTGAGTAACCCGCGATTTTTAGTTATTTTAGTATGTCTCACGATATTTATTATAAAAACATAAAATACTTTGTTCATTAAGGAATATACTTTTGTAACTTGGTTTAGAATCTACGAATACTAGATATAATTGTGCCTTAATTGTAAAATTAAGTATTATACATTTGTAAATAGTATAAAACATAAACAGTAAAATTTAATAAGTAGTTAAATGTGTAGGTAGTGTATTAAGTATCTAGTTATGTAGTTTAATTTATTGGATAGCAAAATAAATTAAGAAAAGTTTGTTTATTTTGTATAAATATTATCTACAATCTTAGATTTATCACTGACTTATAACTGCTGTAAATATTATTTTAAAAATAAAGATTTTAAAATGCCTTAATGATCTTTTGAGTTATTATTGAATCTAAACTATGGAATGACTACTATCACACATTTCTTCCCTATGAGGATAGTTATTCTTTTTATAAAACGTTGCCCCCCACTAGGATTTTCTCCTGTGTTGTGGGTGCGGTTACAAACATACAATTTCTCATACACATGACACCCAGACCCGGAACAACCAAGAGTTGTTCCGTGCGGGAAATGAACTCGCGACGTTGCACGGCAGTCAGTTGCCCAGCAACCACACCAACCGTGCAGTCAAATTGGTCAATTCATTTGAATTTCGATGTACGGGAATAATGGTTCGAGTCTAGAACTTCAAACAAATCAAATCGAAGATGGGGTGAATGGGATGAATCGAACATGGGATGCATTCTATTTTTATATTTTTTAGAATTATTACGTCTGCTATGTAACGAACTTATAAAATACCGCCAAAGTATCTTGGCGAGTCTGAAGCTAGCCGATTAACTGCGCAATATACAATTTTGTTGCTAAAAGATCCATTGCGCAGACAAACTGCTAACTTCAGACACGCCAAGATACGTGTGCCGTACTGTATACATTGATTCGTCAACAATAATCTGTCTATCTGATAAACAAATCGTTATCCTGGGTTTGTACAAATAAATTTATGAATGTGAATTTGTATGATTTGTGAACATACCTACGATATAGTAGGAAAACGTAGTATACGACTACTTTAAAATATTAGTTTTATTTCTGAACGAGTACTTTGGTATTTTTGACACTTGACTGATTTGACAGTGACAGCACAACAATACACATAACCTGTAACCTCAAAAAAGTATCACGCTCGCGTGAGTAGTAGTTCGCGAAACAAAAATAATATAACTAATCGATTTTATTACTAGTAAATTGCATTTAAATCACCGAAAATGGCGGAACAAGTAAATCAACGTATCGAGGATATGATCAATGAGTTGGAGCAGATGAGAAGAACACAAATGTATGATGATGAAGAAATAAAGTAAGAATCAAGTTTACCAAATTTTATTAACACGCTCCGTCGTGGTTACTTGTTAGATTAAAGTGTAGTAACAACTATTTCTATATAGAAAAAAACAATAAAATCGATGTCATTACAAGATACATTTTGACTTCAGTTATTAAATCGCATTATTTACATAAATACCAAAAAGGTGTTATTTGTCAGTAGTGTTGCTAAAATATTATAATATAAAATGTTTTTACAGGGAAATATCTCGAAAAAGAAAAGAATTTGAATACCATATACAGAGAAGAGTGAAACAGAAAGAAGATTTCGTTCAATACATAGCTTACGAACTGGCTTTGCTTGAGGACATCTCTTTGAGAAGGCAACAGGCAAAATTAAGTGAAAAGAAGAAAGACATTGAGTATGCAATCGCTAAACGTGTGAACAAAGTATTTAAACAGTTCATATACAGATTTCAAGATGATTTAGAAATATATTTTGAGTATATCAAGTTTTGCCAGAGTGTAGGATTTGATGATGCTATTTCTGGTATTATTGGACAGATGTTACAGGTTTGTAATGTTATATTATTGCTTAATCTTCACTGTACATCATCATCATCAGCCTAATTGCTGAAAAAGTGCCCACTGCTGTGCAAAGGCCTCTTCTCACATGGAGGTTTGGGCAATAATAACAATGCTTGCTGATTAGATATTTCAAAATTTTATTAAGGAAATATATCTCCAGTTTCTTTTGATGTCATCCATGACCATTTGTCATTGGTGTCTAAATAATGTTGTCAGGTTATGACCCCACAGCCTAATGCATGAAATGGGACCTGAACCCTATGGGCCTCTACAAATTGTATGCATGCCTGTATGACAACATCACTCTTAGTATTACAAAAGAATTATTCAGGTGCAGGCATTGAATGTAATATATTCTTCCTGAAGTTGTGATTTGAATAGGTTTCAAGACTTATTTTAGGTCATGGTGTGGTCACAGGCGATTGTTACAGTCATAGCCACAGTCAATCCATCCCTTTACCATGAAAGTTAAAAGTGTGTTTGCCCACCTGGGACACAGATACTTACTAATATGTAATTATTCTCATGAACTTATAAATCTTATGTATATTTGTTTTCCTTAAACCTTTTTATTGTGAAAAAGTTTGAGTTATCTCTAATATTTATCTACAGATGCATGATAGTGCAAGTTATTAAAAAAACAAATACTTTTTTCCAGATTCATGGTGACAAACCAAAAATCTGGCAGTTGGCAAGTAAATGGGAGAGTAAAGAACAGAATAACTTGGACAATGCTAGGAACTTCTTATTGAAGGGAGTTCATAGACATCCTGAATCTGAAATCTTGTACCTTGAGTTGTTTGATATTGAACTTATTGATTTGACATTTAAAGCTGGTGATGAAGAAGACAGGGTAAGATTGTTTGCGTATTATGTGCCAATACTACTGTACAATCATATAATATAATCATATTAGACCTTTGAGGTCCACAGGAGCAATGGCCTGCTGCCATTGCATAGTGTTAGACTTACAGAAAAAGGCTCATACTTTACCTTCATATATTACAATCATCTGATGCTGGCTTCAAGTGAAGTATTTTATCATGTCATTGTTGTCATTCATTAATTAAGCAATATATTATATTTCTGTGTCATATTAAAGTATTATTAATTTGTAGCAACAAATATTAACTTGTTTTCTGTATTTTATTTTTGTATTGTCAGCATTATACTTCAGTAAGTGAAGTAAAAAATACTATTCATGCTGATAATCTTAGGGAATATTATTTTGATTGAAGCTAATTCTTAAATTTTATTTTGCATGATTTGGCATTCTTATAGTTGGCAAACATAGTTATTAATTTGTTGGTTTGTTGATAAATAAATTCTTGTGATTTATATTTTCAGGAAAAGCAAGTAAAAAGAGCAGACATTGTTTGGAAAAATGGTGCTAAAAATATTAAAAGTCCCAAATTCCTTTTTAATGTTTTTGATCTATGTAGAAAGTATGAAATCAAGGAATCATTTGTTGATGACATAAAAAAAGAGATATGGCTCAGAAATGACAGCAAAGATGTTTGGTCTTACATTGCTGCTAAGGAATTAGAAGTAAGTTTACAATTTTTACTAAATTATTATTTATTCAAACATGTACTTTACTGTTTTCTAATAAAGTATTCTATAACAGGGTTGTCACTGGGAAGAAATTGAAGAATTTGTGGATGAAGAAAATAATTTTTCTAATGAAGTAAATAATTATATAGGAGTTTATGAAGAGGCTTTACAAAAGGTCAGTTGAATTTAGTTTTTGTTCACTGTTGGACACAGGCCACTCTGATAGAGTACCACTGGGAATACAGTACTATGTATAAACACCAGTAAATCAACCTTACTGATTACTGTTAACTTTATACTTTTGATATGAAGCTGGAAATCATGGAGTTAGCCTGCTGTCGTCACTACATATGCGGCCTTACGTAAAATTCTAAAACTTAGATTATAATTGAAATAAATTCTTTAGTTCCCAGATGAAACATTATGTACAAAATACATCCATGACTTGCTTGGCGCAAATGAAACTGTATGCAGTGACCAACAGAAAATTAGTGCCGTCAAACACGCCTGGAAGTATGGCTATGAAAATGGACTTCTTACAAATGACATGTTTGCTTTTGGACTGGAAATTTTGAAATTGGAAAACGAAACATCTGATGAGGAGTTGATGGAAGTAAGGGTTTCTTGTAATTAACTGATGTTTTGATTTTTTAAGTAAACTTTTAGTACCTAGTACCTACCTAACTTTTATTGTAACATTTCTTTAATGTCCATTAATCCATCTGTAATCTTGGGTGTAGTAATAGTTGATGGATGATTTCATTTTTATGTGATACATCAACTAACACAAAATGTGTAATTTAGTTATTGTATTGCATCATGCATTATTTTGTTCAAGTGCCCTGTCTTATTCTATTTTCGTTTTAGATACTGGACTCTGCTATCAAAATGAATCCTAAACTAAGGTGTGTTTGGGAAGAAAAGATCCTATTATGTAAATCAGATGAGAAGAAAATGTTGTCTGTACTACAAGCTGTAAAAGGATTGAAATCAGATGATTTATTGCATATTTATAATCTAGTTTTGGATAATGTAGAGACAGATGTTGCAGTAAGTCTTATCCTATTGTTCTTTATCTCAAAAATTATATATTTTTCCATTTTCAAGTATATGTTTATTTATTTTAAATCTTTTTTGCAGCTAAAGAATCTGTACAAAAAGTTCCAGAGCTGTGAGAATGCTGTATTGTTAGCAATCAAACCTAAACTCTTGCAGAAAATGTATGAAAAGAATGGATTAAAAGCTGCAAGAGATTTGTATGAAGATCTTATTAGGACTCCACCCACTCAGATTGAGGTGCACACAAATATGATAGAGATTGAGATGCTTCAGGAGAAACCCAACCCTAAATATATAAGAAAGTGTTATGAATGTGCTGTGCAACATCACGGCACTGACAATGTAGATCTCTGGGTCAAGTACATGGAGTTTGAAACAGATCACAATGCACAAGCCACTCCTGCCATCTACAGAAGAGCAGTGGGCACATTGAAAAAGGAACATGTTGACCAATTTATAAGAGCACAGACATTAGCTAAAATAAAATAAATTTTGTATTCTGAACCAGGAGTTTTATTACGATAAGTTATCTAAACAGATACATTCAAAGAAAACTGATATCATACGCATGTTTTATCTTAACCTTGAAAAATTCAAAATATTGCAAGTAATGTCATAAATAATTTTAGTAATATATGAAATTGTTATAAAATAACAAAGCAACTGACAAATAAAATATATTTATTTAATAATAACCACACCTGACTCAACAATCTAGCAAAACGAATATCCGCATGGTACACCATTTATACTAAATTATTTACATAGTTTCATTGTACATATCCTTTACTCTCTACTACAAGGTTGAGACTACTTTGGTGATCATGGAATAACACTTAGCTAATAAAAATAAATGCAAATACATTTAGGATAGAGTGACTACTGCATGGCTGCGATAGGGGCAATGTAGTACCTAAAGATTAGGGACGATCCACGCTTGTGCTGCTTGTTTCTCAGCAAGTCCCTCCAGCAGGCTTGCCAAGATGGGTACTTGGGCATATTGGGAGGGTTGCCAGCTGACAGGCTGCAGCCAGCCACAGCCATGCAGGTGGACACCACAACCAGTGGGTAAGTGATAGTACTAGTCACAAAGGTTAACAGGGGTACTGTGTAGTATCGCAGATCTTTAGTTTTGACGAGGTATTTGTTCACATAGTAAGCCAAAACTCCTGTCACTGCAACACAAGTTAAATCACCAAGAAGCTTAGGTATGATTCCGTGGAAGAACCCACGGATGCCATCATCTCTGTAAATAGACGCAATTGCACCTATCAAAGAGCTATAATCTTCCTCTTTGCCAATAAATGAGGCCATCATCCTTACAGACACAACATGGAATGGATAAGACACAATGACAGAAGCTGTGTGCATTATCATGTCTCGGCGGCCCAGCTTGATGTAATCTTCAACCTTGGGCTCCTCATCAGTGACAATATTTGGAGGGTCATTGATTTCTGGCAAATCAATACCCATCGCAAAGATTACCTTAGATGTCAGTTGACTGGACGCAATCAGCCCGAGTACTCTCGCAGATAGGCCTCTGTAGCAGCCGAAAAATCCATCTGATGTTTTGATAAACTTGATGTATTGGAAAACGTTAGGTAATATCATGGCAGGGCGTCCAAACAGTGTCGTAGACCGGCGCGGCGGTAAGGGCTCGTACCCCAGTTGTATGAGCACTTTCGCATATTCCATAGGATGGCATATTGTAGTTACGAGTAGCTGTGATGGCAATGCCGCTATTTTCTCTTTTTCAATTTCGTCCATGTCAATATCGAGCTCTTCTGAAATCAAAAATGACTGGCCAAAGACATTAGGTAAACGTCAAATTTTTTTTGGGTTGCCATATAACCAACGATATGTTAGACTCAACGACAAAATGAGTTTATGTTGCACCATAAATAAAATACTAAATAAGGCAACGTATTAAAAATCTTTTTTAAACCTTTATTTATATTTAATATGGTTGATTGACCTCTCGTTTGCTGGTGTATGAGACACAAAAGAAAACATTGTGCCTTGTGTAGATCTGCGCTCGGCACGGGTTAATTCATGTTAAGACAATTATAACATCTTGTGTATCTGTTTTGTTGTTGTATGACATTATTGAATGCACGACTACCGTAGGTTTGATTCTGTAAATCTGTAGTATCCTTAAACTTCCTAGGCCACTGGGCATAAGTCAAAAGCCTTACTATGATGAACTAAGTGATCATGTCAATTAAAATATGTATATATTGATACATTCGTTTGTACTTAGTGCGAAATTTAAAATAAACTTAGCAGTCAGTAGGCACTTTATAATATTTAGTTCATTAAGATGAACTAAATGTTACATCCCCAAGCAAACGCCGGCTTTCGCACTCCTATTGTATCTCTAATTACCATGATTGAAAAGTAAAAAATGTGTTAAAGCATTCAAAGCTTTAATAACAGCTTATTATTATACGAGTATTTATCCAAAACAATCTTGAGTTGTTTATTATTCGGTTGGTCAGTAACAGAGAATTAATGACAGAAAAACCCATTGTTTAGATACAAAATATTTATTTGGTAACTAAGCAGTAGACGTAAGAAGCTCATTTGTGTCATCTTCATCTATTTTGTAGGGCAATTGTGTCGTCAAGTTAGTCTGCGTGGGGGGTCCCTCCATGTTGGTGTTTTTACGACCGTTAACTTGGGGCTGTTGCTGCTGACTCTGAAAATAATAACAACAATCAATATCCTCATTGTTTTTTCATTTTATGTTGAAGTTCAAAAGAGCGCTGTATTTTAGGTCGCATCCAACGACTTATCTGGAAGTCATACGGGATATAATATTCAGCACGTGTTTTGGCTTATAATGGCGATGATGAAAAATAAGTTTGTAGATGTCGGTACCAATCTAGGCTTCTAGAAGAAAGAAGAAAAAAGAAAGAAAAATACGTTTATTCGGCATCAGACACGAAGACCGGATTTAAAAAAAACATTAATACAAAATAAAAAAAGACAGAAAAACACAAGAAAAAAATAAATAAACCATAAGCAAAAAAAAAACAGACTAACAAATTATAGCCAAAAAAAATTAACATCTAGATCTCCAGCAACAATTTATAGTTTAAACAAATAATCGTCGAGCTGATACATTGTGCAGCAGCCTGGCATGTTGACCGTCAAGTTGACCAGAAATCAATTTAAGTTTTTGTTTGTTTTTGACCGTTTGGTACAAAATTCTCGCCTGCACATATTATTCAGTTTAAATTTCTACATTATTATTAGATAACGGTTCCATTTTAATTTTCCTAATCGGAAGAAATTGCAATATAGTGGAATTTATAATTAGTAGCTACACAAACCTCTTCACTATCAGATGATGAAGAATCTTCCTTCGATTCTTCGTCAGAATCAGGATCTCCGCAGTTGGCTTCACGGTCGTTACCATTAACCTTGCCGCTTTCGACATCGTCATTATCATCATCATCTGTATCATTTTCATCGTCGGACATCTCATCTTTTTCCTCTAGAGTCTCCCAAACTTTTTCTTTTTCTAACATGTCTGTAAATAACACTTATAGATCAAGATTTATTTATGTCGGTAAGTCATGACAAACGATGACAGGTTTAAGAAACTCACGTAAGTAAGATAATTGATTACAATATTGTTAAGCTATATGAATTTGTTAAATTCATTTGTTTGAAAGATTTCTAGGAAATAAAGAAAAATCTGTCTATTCAGACTCCAGTTCCAGTTAGCTGCAATATGTTTTGTTTGTCTTTTTCAATTAATTTTATGTAGTGGTCTTGGTTCAGAACCTTATTGTGCTTTTTGTAATACTTGCCTCTATATCTCAAACTTCCCTTTCTGCTGATTGAGCCTTCGCTCGGTATCTCGACTATGACCACAGCAGTGTCGATAGTGACGCCGTTGGATTTCTTCTCGCCGTCAAGGATCGGGTCATCTGGCAATGGCTCTTTATTTAGCTGAAATTATAGCAATCTAATATAAGAAAACGCTTAACTGAAGTACAACTCATGGTCTTTGCATTCAGACGGGGTCAAGAGCAATAATGAAACGCTACGAGAAGGATAAATAATGGGGTGGTTCTGCCACACCCAGGACTAGAGAAACCATTTGATGATTTTCTCAGTTCAAAAAATTACATAATGACAGCTTTGCAATTAGGACTTTGTGTGTATAGACTTTTTGGCAGACAGACTTTGAGTGCACAATCCATTCAAATTCAGTAAATGACCGAAGTATTAGTTGATAGCCGTTAAAATATTTCTGATAACTTTTTGAAGAGACACATCAAATAACTGAAAGAATACTTATAAAGTAATATGTGAATAAAGAATTGAGCTACATTGGAATCGTCTGATTCCATAAAAGCCGACCTGCAAAAATGATATGGAAGGCTCCTGCAATTTCGTCGCATGCTCCTTACTCCTCATGATGTCCTCATTCGTTTGTTTCTCTAGGTTCAACTTGTACGCTTTGTGAGTTCGCCACATCTGTATTTTTGAAATTGAAATACCTTTATATTTATATTATTGTCAAAAATGATAAGTTTGCGGCAATTTAAAAGGTATCAATCAATAACCAGATATTTGAGTTCTGGGAGAATTCAAGTCTTGGACATTATTTCAATTAAAATAAAAATTTCCTAATATTTTAGAGGTACACTTACGTGATATCCACAGTAACATAATCCTAGCAAGAATACACAGATGAGTGCTATAAAGAAATTATCTGTGTTGTCTTCTTCAGTATCTGGCTGTTGGTACAGTGAGTCGTATGGGTTGCGGGATGGTGGGTCCTCCACCCATGTTTTATCTACACTCTGTAAAATATATAAATTTAGTCTAACCACTTATAAAATCTTCATTGACAAATATTGGACCTATTCCATCTTAATTGTTCATGAGATTGTAGACTTATGGACGTCTTCTACAAAAAGACGGGTTGCCATACTTGCAAAAACATATTTTATATAAGATTGCCGTTTTCCGGACCTTGTTTATATATGTAGTCTTCTCTTAGTCAGTCGGCTCTTACGTCAAACATGGTAAGGGTTAGGGACGTTGGGATGGTAACAAAATAAGTATCCTTCTGTGCCGTGACCTCATTTAAAAATAGCATCTCCAACTTTTTTTTTATGGCCTGTTGTGTGTCCCTTTGCTGGGCAAATGCCTCCCCTTTTTTCTTGCAAATTTCTCTGTCTAGAGCGATCTCCAACTTATGGAGTTTAATTTCCATGCTCATAAAATTTATCGTCTCGATCTCATTTTACAGCTTTATTTTATTGCAGTTTGTTTATTGACGTGATTTACTATTGTTTGTGTAAATGGCCGGTCTACTTACTATAAGAAAGCTGCCATTGTGTGCCGCGGCTAACTGTGTCTGGTCTGGCCAGGCCTCGTCAAAGTCCGCGGAACATTGGGCTGATCGTACTCCTTGTGCGTTCACCGCATTTACCTCGGCTGAGTTCAGTCGAGTGAACAGCATGTACTCTTCTAAAGGCTTCATCTCATAGTCGTTTATTTCTACCAGAATATCTGTGTTGGATACAAATAAAGTCTTTGTTAAACCCATACATTGAGAAATAAAGTTTTGCGTAATAGGTAATATTCTGGTATAGGTACCTATATCTCTTAATTTCCTTAGATTTTAGGGAAACGAAATAAAATATCAACCAATACTGTTTTTCGTGTTGGACGCAATAAATCACCTTCGTAAAAACGTTTGATGAAGGTGACAGAAACTTTTATAAAGTTTTTTTTTGATAATCACTCAAAACTCAGAATGTTAACTTTAACGATAAAGATTTACCAACAATTAATGACAAAAATTTAATTTGATCAGTACTTACTGGACAAACATCCGCTGTACCCCTTATAAATCTTGAGTCTTGGATCTGTAGTATTGAGGCCGCCAACCTGAACTTCATTGGATCCTAAATCCACATAGGGGATGACGATTTGAGGAGGAACCTTTTCAAGAGGGACTTCTATCCTATCTATTAGAAGCTTTGCTTCTTGGTTGGTGCGGGTGTAGTAGATTGTGTGACGGGCACCTGAAGAAAACATACTGAAGCTAATTCCTGTTTATGAGTGTAAGGTAAGGAAAAATATGAACGCCTATTAAGTTAATCAAGTCATGTACAACTAGTTAACGACTGTTTTGTATGTCGTATAAAGATCCAACAGTCCGTGTCAGTACTCCACCCATTAATCCCATATTCTTTATTTAACACAGTAACAAACCACAAAAGGCCGACAGTGGGCTTTTTACTCCTGAGGTTCCATTGCTCGATTGCCAATAAGACAGTTCAATGTTACACTAAATATCGCTTTTTCTACATAAGTATACATAAGTGTGGGAGAGCCATGTTTCGGCACGAATTGTGTGTGTACCGGAGTGATACCACGGCCTCACAGAAAACCGGCGTGAAACAAACACAGCGTTGTGTTTCGCCGTGTGAGTGAGGTTACCGGAGGCCCAATCCTTCCCCTCCCCCAATCCCTAAATCTCCAAAATCCCTAATCCCTAAAAGGTCGGCAACGTACTCGCAACTCCTCCGTTGCGGGTGTCCATGGGCGGCGCTGATTGCTTACCATCAGGAAATTAGTCTGCTCGTTTGCCGACCGATAAAATAAAAAAAAAATTGTCATTTGTAAGTGGATGGTGGATTATGTCAAATAATAGTTTTAAAATGTTTAGGTATTTGAAATAGCGCCGATATAACGACCTTTCCTATAGGTACGGTCTTTGAAGGTTAGAATTCGGGATTCAGAACTAGATCTTCAGTAATTTTATATACACGGCGAAGCAAAGCGCAAACATTGTTTTGACGCTGGTTTTCATTCGCGCCTAAGCATGCCA